GGGCGTGGTGTCTGTAGTCCCAGCACTTGGGAGGCAGAGGCAGGCAGATCTGTGAGTTCAAGGCCAGCCTGGTCTACACAGTGAGTTCCAGGACAGCTGGGGCTACAGGGAGACCCTGCTTCAAAAAGACAAAAAAAAATGGAGTATAGTCATAGAACTGGAGATTAGTGTTGTAATTGCCTATTATGAGTGAGACACTGGGTTCCATCCCCATTATTGCAGAAATTAAAGCGGACCAACTGCACGTGCACATTTTGGTTCATAATTGTCTGCATATGTGATGGTGGGCCCATACAGTTATAATGAACCTGAAAAATTTCTATTGTTTAATGGCATCCTGGCCAATGAAATACTGCAGTGTGGTTATCTGTTTTGGTGATACTGGCATGAACAAACTGTGCTTCCAGTTCTATAAATATATAACATGCCAAGCTGGGGTGGTGATGCACACCTCGAGTCCCAGCACTTGGGAGGCAGAGGCAGGCAGATCTCTGTGAGTTCAAGGCCAGCCTGGTCTACATAGTGAGTTCCAGGCCAGTTGTGGCTATAGGGAGACTCTGTTTCAAAAAGACATATATATCTGCAATTAGGCAGATGGTAGTATGGTACTTGGTCTATGTATTTATTTTTTTATTTTTATTTTATGTATTATGAGTGTTTTTGTCTGCATGTATGTAAATGCACAAGTTCCTACAATGCCCATGAAGGCTAGAAGAGGGTGATGGATTCCCTGGAATTGAAGTTACAGAAAGTTGTTAACCACCATGTGGGTGCTAGGAACTGAATCTAGGTCCTCTGCAAGAGCAGCCAGTGCTCTTAACCACTGAGCCCTCTCTCCAGCCCCAAGACCCAAGAATTCTGACACAGTTGGCCAAATGCGCAAAGAATTCTGAGAAACATCTCAAGCAGAAGTGTAGTAGCTAATGATCCATCAAAAATGTGTGTGACCCATAAGTTTAACCTTGTCAGCATGCATTTCTTGTATAAGCCTGTTCTTTTCTGAGAAAAATCTCACAAATGACATTATAAACTGTTTACAGTCAAATACACATTGGGCTGGTGAGGTGGCTCAAGATAAAGGTGCTTGTAAGCAATCCTGACACAACTGGAGTTTAATTCCTGGGACCTGAATGAAGGTAGAAGAAAACTGACTCCTTAAAGTTGTTCACTGTCCTCCGTACTCATGCTGTGGCCCATGTGCACACATGCACATACCCATAATGATGATAAATGAAGATAAATGCACATGTTGTCCTCTGGATTTATTTGTCTTTTTCTGACCCATTTTTCAGCATTAAAATTTTTAAAAAATTATTATTTTTTTGAGACAGGGTCTCCCTGTAGCCCCAGCTGTCCTGGAACTCTATGTAGACCAGGGTGGCTTGAACTCACAGAGATCCACCTGCCCCTGCCTCCTGAGTGCTGGGATTAAAGGTGTGCACTACCACACCTGATTGCAAATGGTTCTTTAAACTGAAAGGTTGCTTTGAATCTTTGTTGCCAAAGGAGCAGGCTTTGTTATATGGATTATTTGGCCATATACCGTGTCAAAGACTGATTGACAGCTATAGCTCCAGAAGGGCACTTTTCCATACAACCTCCATGAGTTCCACTTACCCACTTATACCCACTGCAGTTTGAGTTTTCCTGCAAACTTGATTTAGTTTTATTGATTTATTTTTATTTTTTTGAGGCATGGTCTCATTATATAGCCCTGGCTGACCTGGGACTTGCTATGTATATCAGGCTGACCTTAAACTCACAGAGATCCTTCTGCCTCTTGTGTGCCACAACACCTGATCAAACTTTACAAAAGACATTTTTATTTGTGTGTGTGTGTGTGTGTGTGTGTGTGTATGTGTGTGTGTGTGTGCATTCACATGTATATGCAGGTACCCTTGGAGGCCAGGATACAGGGTCAAATCCCTTGGAGCTGGAGTTACAGGTGTTTCTGAGCTTTCTGACATGGGTGCTGGGAACCAAACTCTTGTCCTCACGATAGAGCAGTAAGCACTCTTAATCCCTGAGCCGTCTCTCTAGCACCCTTCCTATGAATGTTAATGTGTGCACTAGGGAAACAATTTGGATTCAAGATGGGGAATATTCTTTGAAATATGGAAACACTTTGTCTCTAGATTGAATTCATGTAAAGTTTTAGCTTTGTAAAAAATTTTTTTAAAGGCAGGGTCTCACTGTGTAGTATTGACTAACCTGGAGCATAGACCAGGTTGGCCTTAAACTCATGGAGAGCTTCCTGCCTCTGCCTCCTGAATTCTGGGGTTAAAAGTGTACACTGGGGCTGGAGAGATGGCTCAGTGGTCAATATCACTGGTTGCTCTTACAGAAGACTCAGGTTTGATTCTCAGCACCCACATGGTGGCTAATGGCTGTCTGTGACTCCAGTTCCACAGGATCTGATACCCTTTTCTGATCTCTGAGAGCATCGCATGACACAGGTGCACTTACATACATGCAGACAATACACTCACATACAGTTTTAAAAGTTAAACATGTGCCGGGCATGATGGCACATGTCTTTAATCCCAGCACTCAGGAGGCAGAGGCAAGTGGATCTCTGTGAGTTCAAGGCCAGCCTGGTCTACACAGTGAGCTCCAGGCCAGCTGGGGCTACAGGGAGACCCTGTCTCAAAAAGACCAAAAAAGAAAAAAAAGAAAAAAAGTTAAACATGTAAACTATACCTAGCCTTTTCTTTTCTTTAAGACTTATGTCAGGTGTGGTGGCTCAGGCTTCGATTCCAGCAGCAAGGGCTTTTATATGATGAGCCATCTCCCAGCCCTTCCTGTCAATATTGAACGTGACTTCTCAGTATGTTTTCAGGTATGTTTTATTATATATGATTAAAAACTGCATGCCTGGGCCTGGAGTGATGGCTTAGTGGTTAAGAACATTTGCTGTTCTTCCAGAGGACTTGGATTTGATTCTCAGCACCCACATAGCAGGTAACAACCCTTTGTAACTCCGGTTCCAGGGGATCCGATGCCCTCTTCTGCTTCCTCAGGCTTTGCAGACACAGATGCACTTATGTACATGCAGGCAATACACTCATACAGTTCAAGGCCAGCAGAATTATATAATGAAACCCTGACTCAAAAAAAAATAGAAAGGACCATAACTAAATGGTGCTGGAGAGATGGCTCAGTGCTTAAGGGGGTTAAAAGAAAGTACTGCTTTTGCAGAGGACCTAAGTTCAGTTCCTAGCACCCACATTAGGTGGCTCACAAACCCCTGTAACTAAATCCAGGACATTCAGTGCACTCTGTTGACATCTGTAACATGCATGTGTATATGCACGCACACACATACACATGTACACACACACACACACACACACACACACACACACACACAGTGATGTAATTTTCCAGAAGAGGGAACTCTAGAGTGAAAATATATTAGTGTTTATCTAGGATTTGGAGAAAGGCAGGAAGGTGGTGAATGATTACAGTGTATTGTTTCGAGTGATAGAGATGACAGTGTTTTAAAATTGTGGTGATGACTGCAAGCACAAGTGAACACACTGAAAACGACTGGACTGTGCACACTAAAGGAGCGCATTGGAGAATTTGTGTGTTCTATCCCACAAACAGGTTTCAAGAAAAAGGCATTAGGAATATTGATGCAAATTCTTACATATAAAATAAGTAGCCCCTTGTTTGTTTCTTTTATAAGTGTAATGGGTATTCACTTGCCTCAGGGCATCTGTCCCAGTTACTTTTCTATTGCTGCAATAAAGCACCAAGACCAAAAGCAACTTGGGGAGGGGAAGGTTTATTTCATCTTACATTTCTAAGCCACAGTTTGTTCATCTTTAAGGGAAGTCAGGGCAGGTACCTGGAGGCAGGAACTGAAGTAGAGACTGTGGAGAAATGCTGCTTACTGGCTTGCTCCCCCTGGCTTGCTCAGCTCCTTCTTTTTTACAGCCCAGACCCACCTGCCCAGGGATGGTACCTCCCACAGTGGGCTGGGTCCTCTTACATCAAGCAGCAATTAAGAAAATGCCCCACAGACATGGCCCACAGGCCAAGCTAATGGAGGCTTCTTTCCATTTGAGGTCCCCTCCCCAGTGTGTCAAGTTGTCAACTGAAGCTGGTCAAGACAGTAACTTGTTACATTTCGAAGTTTCCTTAGGACACTTTCAGAAATTACCAAATAGATCCTTCGTCCCAGAGTTGGGGTCATAGCTCAGGGATAAAGCAACTGCTTAGCTTGTGTAAGGCCTTGGGCTCTATGCCCAGCCTTGTAAGAAAAGGAAGGCAGGAGGGCATGGGGTGAAAGGATAGAGTACAGGAAGCATAGTGTTTGTCCGTGGAACAAGAGTCATTGCCACCAGTGTGAGGCCGTATGGTGTTCAATCTTTCCCCAAGTTAAGCACGGAGCAGGACTCTACTACATAGGATGAAGTCACTTTAAAAATGTCCGTATTTGTACACAGCGCAGGTTCAGTAGAGGCCTGGGGATTATGGTAATTCTCTGACCTCTGACATCAGAGCCTATTATTCCAGTCTGGCCTTGGCGGGGCCTTTTAGTTCCATTCCTGTGACAAAGGGTTCTGGAATTCTCTGGGCAAACTGCGTCCCCAGGACATATGGAGCTGTAGGAAGCCGCCACGGTGGGCTCAGGGTTCCGACCAGATGGAAAGGCAGCAGAGCAGGTCCAGCGGGGTGCGGCGCAGGCCCACCCAGCTGACCTTCCCCGGCCAGGCCGCAGTGGGCGGGGCCATCCGAGCTGTCCAATCCACGCGACTTTTTACACCGCAGGGAACGCTGGGTGGACGCGCGTGAGCGGACGCGAGTTTCCACTCGCTTTCTTCCCTGACCGCCTCGGTAGCCGCGCAGGACCACCTGTCCCCAGCAACCCTCCCCCGTACTCTGCCGAGGACGCGACCGGCCGACCCTGGACCTGAAATGGTGCGCTCTCTGCGGCAGGTGGGGAGGTGCGGGGCCAGGTTTTGCTGCCGGAGTCCCTGAGGCCCCCGCCGGTGTGTGGTGGGCACCAGGACCCCGGTTACGGACCCGCTCCGGGCCTCTGGGGGCAGCTCGGGCCGCAGCCCCGTAAGCCCTGAAGTGCGCGGACGGCCGGAAGGCCGCGGGTGTGTGTGGACAGGCTGACTGGTGTGGGCTGCGTGCAGAGGACGAGCTGGGGCCCTGGGGTCCTCAGCCCCTTTAAGGCGGAGGCCGCTTTTCTCTTTAAGTGTTTGTTTTTGAGACGGGATCTCTGTAGGCCTGGCTGGCCTGGGACTGGCTGTGCCTCTGACTTACGAGGGATGCGCCTGATTTTGCCTGCTCGGTGCTGGCAAAAGATGTGCGTCACCGCGCCTGGCCTCATACATGTTTTTTGAGCACTGGATGTCTTTTCTTGTGTTCCCAAGCCTCAGATTCCCCTCTTCAAACCACACCATTGTCACCTGTGTACCTTTATACTGTAGGTCGAGCTCAGCTTTTTTTTTCTTTCCTTTTTTCCAGTGTTTAGGAGGGAGGGAGCCTATGTGATGTGCTACATGCCCAGCCAGAGAATATGGACTTTTTTTGTTTCCTAAGAGCAATGGATGACTTTTCTGGGGAAAACGGCGTTTTAAAATTGTGCCCTTAATCCAATACATTTTAAAAAATTAATTAACTTGCTTCTGCCAACATTTATTTATTTATTCATTTACGTGCCCGCGTGTGCGCTCCTGTGGGTTATTTGTGTGTGCTCATGTGTGCATTCCTGCAGGTATGTATATATGTATGAATTTATTTATTAATTATTAATGTGTGTGTGTGTGTGTGAGAGAGCGCGTGTGCGTGTGAGAGCGCGTGTGCGTGTGAGAGCGCATGCGCGTGCCGTGCCTGCATGCTCTTCTGTCCTCCCATAGTGCATATGTGTGGGTTGGAGGACAACTGGCCGGGGTCAGTGCTCAACTTCCATTATGTAAGTCCTGGGATCAACTCAAGTTCTTAGGCTTGGCAGCAAGGACATTCAGTGAGCCATCTCACCCTCACCCCCCCTTTTATTTTTCTTTTTAAAAATTTTTTAGAAGAAGCATTTCATTACAGCTTTAACATATTCAATAACAATTTCCAGAGCAAAGATACATCTTTTTCAAAAGTGGCTATAAAATTTTTAGGTTCACAGTTGAATTAATACAGTTATACAATATTGAACTCAGTATAAATCTTGTAAGATAAAATTGAATGTTTTTAACCTTTAAAAACGATCTCTGTTTCATTTTAAAATATAGTGTTTCTTACAGAAAGACTCATTGTTTTGGCTAATAACAGATGTTGGCACGTGTCTCTAATCTGTGTGTATCTGATTATTACTAGTCATGGTTGGTTGCACTTGGATCCTTGGCACCTGTTTATGGATATAAAGTCATTGAGTAGATTTCAATGGCAATATTTATCACTGCTACTAATTAACATGATGTGAATTTTTATGCTTCCTCCTCAAATATAACTCACTTTTAAAATTTGTTGATTTTTTTTTTGTGTGTGTGTGTGTGTGTCTATCACACACACTATCCCAAACAATCTTATTCTCATGAATCTTAGTCTCATGAAGTCTAGGCTGACTTTGAACTTGGTTGACCTTAAATTTTTGATCTTGGCCCCTTAACAGGCATGCATCACCATGCTGGGTTTATGTGGTTCTGGGAACCCAGGACTTCATGCATGCTAGGCTCTACCAACTGAGCCATAGCCCCAGTCCTGGGATCCTGGTTTTGAAGGGTCAGGACAGAGATGTTTGCCCTCTGGACAAGTGAAACCATCCCAGTGGAGTTGAATAGGAACTCAAAAAGCAAAATATACTTCAGGACATACCAAAGCCCAGTCTAGTCTGACTTGGGATACTGGGCTCTTTAGTGAACAGAACAGAATGAGGGAGGGGGATGTCCCACATGGTAGCTATAGGGTGACTTGATAATAGTTTCAGATATGTCTGTGTTCCAAGTTAGTACTGCCTCTCCCTAGGTTTTTGACATTGAAAGCATTTTTCTTATAATTTTCAAATTTTATTTTTTGTGTATGAGTGTTTTGCTGGTATGAATGTAAGTGCACCGTGTTTGCGCAATGCCTGCTGAGGCTAGAAGAGGGCATTGGATCCCCTGGAACTGGTGTTACAGAAGATTTGCCACCACGTGGGTGCTGGGAACCAAACCCAGGTCCTCTGTAAGAGCAGCCAGTGGCTCTTAACCATCTCTCCAGCTCCTGAAGTCATTTAAAAAAATTATTAGGTTGTTTATTTAATTTAAAAAAATATTTGATTATTTTTAGTTTATGTGCATGAGTGTATTGCCTGCCTGTATGTAAGTGCACCCATGTTGTGCAATGCCCATGGAGGTCAGAGGGCATCAGATTCCCCTGGAACTAGAGTTAGGGACAGTGTTAGTCACCATGTGGGTGCTGGGAATTGAACCTGGGTCCTTTGCAGGAACAGCCAGTGCTCTGTAGCTCCAGTTCCAGGGGATCCGATGCCGCCTTCTTACTCTTTGGGCATTGCACACACACATGTAGGCAATACACTCATGCACATAAAATAAAAATAATAAAAAAAAGAAAAAGAGGTGGCTGTCCACATTTAATCTCTGAGATATGTAAATCCCACAGGGCTTGTATTCTTGTGGGGGATGGGCTCATTTTGGCATGGAGCCGAGCTCACCAAAGTAACCATGTGACTTTGTAGCCATCTTGGCTGGTGACCTCACCAAGATGGAGGCAACCATGTGATCTGGTTGCTATCTTGGTTGATGACATAATCAGTATGGGAACAGCTTGATGACTTGGTTGCCATCTTGGCAATAACATTTTAAAAAATATTATTTTAAATTTTTATTTTTTTGGATCTTTTTGAGACAGAGTCTCCCTGTAGCCCCAGCTGTCCTAGAACTCGCTATGTAGACCAGGCTGGCCTTGAATTCACAGAGATCCTCCTACCTCTGCCTCCCAAGTGCTGGGATTAAAGGCCTGAGCCACCACACCCAGCTATTATTTTTAAATTTTATGTGTATGAGTCTACTTTCTGCATATGTGTAAGTGCACTCATATTGTGCATTGCCCATGAAAGTCAGAAGAAGGTGTTGGATTTCCTGGAATTGGAGTTAATAGACATTAGCCGCCATGTGGGTGCTGGGATTCAAACCCATGTCCTTTGCAAGAATAGTCAGTACTCTTAACCAATGAGTCAATTATTTTTAAATTTTATGTGTATGAGTCTACTTTCTGCATATGTGTAAGTGCACTCATATTGTGCATTGCCCATGAAAGTCAGAAGAAGGTGTTGGATTTCCTGGAATTGGAGTTAATAGACATTAGCCGCCATGTGGGTGCTGGGATTCAAACCCATGTCCTTTGCAAGAATAGTCAGTACTCTTAACCAATGAGTCATGTCTTCAGCCCAGTTAATAACATTTTTTTTTTGCCTTTATGAAACAGGGTCTCCCTATAGCTCCAGGTGACCTGGAACTTGCTGTGTAGACCAGGCTAGTCTCAGACTCACAGAGATCCACATGTCTCTGCCTCCTGAGTGCTGGGACTAAAGGTGTGGGCCACCACGCCTGGTGGTTAATAACATTTTCAAAATGGTGGTGACCCATGCTACGACCTGGCTGTCACCTTCATTAATCCAGCCATGTGGTATAATTCAAAATGACTACACCCAAAAACTTAATGGTACTACTGAGCCATAGGGGCTCATAATAACCTGGCAATTCCTTGGACTGCAGGCATTTAATCATATGTCCTAATCCGCTTGTAATATTTTCCATTTGGGTTTTACCTAGGATTCTTCCTTTTTTTTTTGGAGACAGGGTCTCTTTTAACCCAAGCCTGGAACTCACTGTAGACCAAGCTGGCCTTGAACTTGCAGAGATCTGTCTGCTTCTGCCTCAGGAGTGCTGGGATTAAAGGCATGTGCCACCATGCCTGGTTTACCTAGGATTCTTAACGGGATCATAGAGATAGAAAGCTATGAGACTATGCAAGACATCCTTTTGTAAACGTAAAATATGCCTTGCCAAGTTACGTTCTCTTTTTCTCTGTATTCTTTGTGTAGTAATGATGGAATCCTTGGACCTTGAATTTTATTTCTAACAATTTGGGGGCTCGTCTGGGATTCTAATTCCATCTAGGACTACTACTTCTTCCTCCTCGGGAGACATATCCCACTGCCTTGTTACAGTGGTTCCAGGGTTTGGGCATTTGGAACTTTGGAAGAAAGTCTCTTACCATAGAGATCAGGCAACTCTTCACAAACCAAAGTAAGAAAATTCATGGGGTTTACAAAGTCTGCCTGCCTCTGCCTCCCAAGTGCTGGGATTAAAGGTGTGTGCCACCATGCCCAGCTTCCATCTAGGAATTTCTAAGAGAAATAGTATGTGCTGTCGAGCTGCTTTCACAGCCTCTTCATGCTGAGTCACCTTGTGGGCAAGGCCTATTTCCAGACAGTTTTCTGATTTTTTAAAAGAAAAAAACTGGTTGATTTCTTGTTTAGTTTTTAAAGTTCTGGTATCAGTATTTTGTTAAATACATGCTTTGTAATATTATGTCCTAGTCTGTGGCTGTGTTTTCATTCTCTTAACAGTTTATATTTTATTTATTTATTTATTTATTTATTTATTTATTTTATTTTATTTTTATTTATTTATTTATTTATTTATTTTTGAGACAGGATCTCACTATGTAGCCCTGACTGGCCTTGAACTCAGAGTTCAAACTAATTAAGGGCCTATAGTCAGAGTGGGACCCCGAGCTTTGGCTTCTCAAACTTGTCCTACCAGTATTTTACAGTTTGCCAATGACACTTGCTTTCCCCGGCTTTGGTTTCTGTTGCAGTGTGTTACATTTTCTAGGTCTGTGTTTCAGTGTCTATTGGGGGACAACTGTTTGCACCGTGAGCTCATTTCTCATGAACAAAGGCAGAGCTCCTAACTTTCAGCTTGCTGGCACTTTTGTCCAGATATGAGTGCAGCCTGTTCTTCCTGTGAAGAGTGAAGCCATGTGCAATTGCCTTTAACTCCAGTTTCAGGGGGTCCAATGCCCTCTTCTGACTTCTGTGGGCATTACATGCATGTTGTGCACTTACATACATGCAGGGAAAACATTCATACACTAAAAGTAAAATAAATAAATAAAAAGAAGTTGGGACAATGTCTAAAATATTTCACTCAGATAAGTACATTAGAGACTCACTAAGAAGGAAGTTTTTAGAGACTAATGAAGCCAGACTCTCCAGAGTATGTGACAGTATGTAACAAAATTCTAAAATCTCACTTGTACAGCAATAGTATATGTGTGTGTGCATCTGTGCGCACATGTATGAGTATAGAACAAAGTCTCACTGCGAAGCCCTGGCTGGCCTCTTTCTCCTCAGTGCTGGGATTAAAGGTGTGTGGTACTATGCCCAGCAATAGTATATTCTGTGCATAAATATTAAGGCAAAATGAGCAACTCTGGTCCTTACTGTTGTGAGAACCTTTTCAAGTTTTATTTCCCAGCAAAGGTCAAATTTGAATGGATATTTAAAATTACCTTTGGGCCTATGTGTGAGCTCCACACACAGTGTGCCTGTGCAGGTCAGAGAACAGTTTACATGGTTCTCTTTTTCTTCCTCTGAGTCTTGGGGATTGAACTTGGATTGTCAGGCATGGTGGCAGGTGTCTTTATCTACTTAGCCATCTTGTTGATCCCACGAACAGGCATTTCTAAAGGATAACAGTCTCAGAGCTGTGATGTTACCTCTTTCATGAGTAAAGCTTTGTTAAAACAGGTACTGGACTTTTGTAGAAAAGAAATTTTAAGTGTCTCAGGATCAAGTCTTACTCTGTTTCCTACTATCCAGAGGGGGCATTCCTATTTTGCTGTTGCCCTTATCAATAATTCATTTGAATAATCTCTCTTTCTATTGGGTGACGTGAATGTAGCCAGAGAGTAAGATTCTGATACCAAAGTCAGTAATATATATTTGGGGCACAGAATTGTGAGTACTGCTTATGAAGTAAGTACAGACATCCAGTGCTGTCTTGTCATGCTCATCATCTTTTGTGTATTATGTGGAATATTGCAGGATTCAGTGACCTTTGAGGATGTGGCTGTGAACTTTTCCCAGGAGGAGTGGGCTCTGTTGGATCCTTCCCAGAAGAATCTCTACAGAGAGGTGATGAAGGAAACTGTCAGGAACCTGACTGCTGTAGGTAAGGATTGATAGCATTTCTTCCCTTTATCATTTAAAGAAAATTGGTTTTTGGTCATCTGTGGTACTCAGTGACTTAACACATGGAAAGAGATTACCTTGTTTTAAATCTGAAGGGTCTCAATGTACCGTGAACACAGAATTCTGTAACTTTTCCAAATACAGTAATTCCCAATGTTTTCTCTGATCTACATTTTAGGAATACAGTGGAAAGTCCAGCCCACTGAAGATCAGTACAAAAATCCTGGGAGAAAGCCAAGGTACTTTGTGTTCAATTAGGGGAAATAGTTCCTCCCTAGAGTGACTTATAATAAGTCATGAGTGTACATTTTTATTAAAAAGACATTTTGATTGTTATGGTTTATCATTATTACTTAAGCTGGATTCAAACTTGTAGATTCAAAAGGTTCATCTGACTTAAACTCCTCAGTATTTGAGATATATAGATATCTCAGATACAAGATCTGAGGTGTAGATATATATGACCTACAGCTCATGAAAATTTAAGAAGAAACAAATAATAAACCTTGCTTCAAAGTTACTTATCCTACAATTTTCCACAGCTATATTCTCAACCTTTATATAGATATTACTGAAGTTTTGATCACTGTGAGATTCCCCAAGTCTGAATACTAATGTTTGGTATTAGCTGCAATCAAACACCTTGCAAACTGTTCAGTCTACTCATGCCCAAGAAATTCTGAGAGCCTGCCTTTTTCCTGGACAATGTTATCGAGTGTAGTTCATGTTAATGAATATAAAATTATTAAGAAATATTATAGCTATAGTAATGGTTCTCATTTTTTTACAGAAGTTATGTGGGAGAGAGGTTTTGGGAAACAAAAGAACATGATCAGTGTGAGGAAACCAGCCAGTTTCCAGAACTCAGTTTGAGCAAGGGAACTGGATGGAAAACCTGTGAATGCAGTGTGTGTGGTAAAGTCTTTATTGTTAATGAATCTTTTCACAGGCATGTGAGCGTTCACACCGGACACAGACCATATCAGGAAGATGGAGAGAAGAGATATCAAGCTAAGCAACATAAATTTGAAAGGACTCAGACCAGTGAGAAACACTATGAATGTAAAGGATGTGGAATAGTCTTTATTTCTCTAACAAGCTTTCAAAGGCACATAAGAATGCATAGTGGACATGGACCTTATAAATGTAAGGTATGTAGAAAAGCCTTTAAATTTTCCAGCTCACTTCAGATACATGAAAAAATGCATACTCTAGAGAAACCCTATCAATGTAAAAAATGTGGTAAATATTTAAGTACTTATAAGTCTTTTCAAATCCATGAAAAAATTCATACTGGAGACAAAACGTATAAATGTAAGGAATGTGGGAAAGCCTTCAGTTGTCCAAGTTCTTACCAAAGACATTTAAGAACTCATACCAGAGAAAGATCTTATAAGTGCAAAAAATGTGGTAAAGACTTTGATTGTTTGAGTTCTCTTCAAACCCATCTAAGAATTCATAACAGAGAGAACATATACTGTGAATGTAAGAAATGTGGGAAAGCTTTTCTTTCTCTCTCAACATTTCAACGGCACATGATAACGCACACTGGAACTGGACCTTTTAAGTGCAGGGATTGTGGAAGAGTATTCATTAGTCAACTCTCATTTCAAGTTCATGAAAAGCTGCACAGTTCAGAAAAACTCTATGAATGTAAACAATGTGGTAAAACCTTAAGTAGTCCCAATTCCCTTCAAAGACACAGAAGGACTCACACTGGAGAGAGACCTTATGAATGTAAGGAGTGTGGGAAAGCCTTCAATTGCCCCAGTTCTTTTCAAAGGCATGAAAAAACTCACACTGGAGAGAAACCCTTTGAGTGTCAGAAGTGTGGTAAAACCTTCACTCGTTCCACTTACCTTCAAATGCATGTCAAGATTCACAGTGGAGAGAAACCCTATGAGTGTAAGCAGTGTGGTAAAGCCTTTACTAGCTCCAGTTCCATTCGAGTACATAAAAGAACTCATACTGGGGAGAAACCCTATAAATGTGAAGAGTGCGGGAAAGCCTTTAGTTGTCCCAGTGCTTTTCAGAGACATAAAATTATTCACACTGGAGAAAGACCTTATGAGTGTACAAAGTGTGGTAAAGCCTTTAATCGTTCTAGTTCTTTTCAAAGGCACCAAAGAACTCACACTGGAGAGAAACCTTATGAATGTGAAGTATGTGGAAAAGTCTTTACTAGTTATAGTTCCATTCAAATACATAAAAGAACTCACACTGGAGAGAAGCCCTATGTCTGTGCAGAGTGTGGAAAAGCCTTCAGTTGTTCCAGTACCTTTCACAAACATGAAAGGACCCACAGTGGAGAAAAACCCTATGAATGTACTAAGTGTGGTAAAGCCTTTAGTCGTTCCAGAAATTATCAGACACATATGAAATCTCACAAGTAAAGAAAAACTGCACTAATGGAAATTCAGATTTTTCAGAAGCATGAAAGCACACAGATACTCTATGCTAGGAATGTGGGAGGCCTTTCATTGCCCACCTTTGTAGCATCCTTGAGAGTGTAAGCATGGAGTGTAGCAGTGGTGTTTGACTTTTCAGTTTGAAACAACATGAAACAACACACAGTAGAGAGAATAATACAGGTAGTATAATATGAGCAGTGAACAGTATCCTCCAGTAGGCTCATGTCTTTATAGCAGTAAGAATGCACTCCAGAGGATGGGAGGATACCTTTGTAGTAGGATGCTTATCTTTCTAGCAGGAGTAACCCTATCATTGCCTAAAACATTTTGTGAGAAATTAGTGCATGTTAGATTGAAAAATTTCAAGTGTTGAAAATAGAAGAAATTTTTTTTTTAAAGATTTATTTTTACTTATGTGCGTGTGCCACATGTGTGCAGGTGCCTGTGGAGGTCAGAAATGGGCATCTGATCTCCTGGAGATGGAGTTACAGGAGGTTGTGAGCCACCTGGCATGAGTGCTGGGAACCGAACTCAAGGGTATTTACACATGCTTAGTTGCCAAGCCATCTCTCTAACTGAGAAGAAAAAGTTAAGAGTCACTTTGAAGCTGGATGTGGTGGTTTATGCATTTAATTTTAGTGATCAAGTGAGGAGAACTGCCATGAATTTGAGTCCAATCCAGACTACATAATGAGAACCAGTCTCAAAACTGAACCAAACAAAAACAAAATTTAAAAATAAACTGAAAATAAAGTGAAAACCAAAAATGACTGGTGAAATGACTCAGCAGATAAGGGTCCTTGTTGCCAAGTCTGATGACCAGAGTTCAATTCCCAGGACTCACATGGTAGGAGAGAACTAACTCCTCTGACTTTCACACGCATGCCGTGACACACATAAAACAAATAAATATAATACTAAGAGAAACATCAGAAAACAAGTAAAGGTATGAACTGATTTTGTTGTTTATTAGCTTACTATTTATTTTGGATCTCTGGACTATGGATTTTCGTTATTCATTTCCAAAGAGTCATCAGTGTGAAATTATTACCTAAGTAGTTGTTCAACAATACATAGATCATGTTAATTGGTTAATATGGTGTTGTGTTTATCTTAATAAAGTTTTGTTTTGAAGTATTTAGGATCCATGGCTGAATTGATTTCTATTCTCATGGGACTCAGGGTAATTGGCATGCTGGGGTGCATTTGTGGAATAAAATGTGCTCCACAGTGGGAGAGTCCAGAATGTGTGCCCTTCATTAATACTTTAAGGAAAAGATTTGTTGGGTTGGAGAGGTGGTTCAGTGGCTAAGAGCCCTGATTTCTCTTGCAGAGGACCCAGGCTTAGTTCCCAGCACCCATAGGGAGGCTTACAACCATATGTAACTCCAGTTCCAAGGAATCTGATGTTCTTTTCTTACCTCTGCAGACATTGCACACGTTGTTCACTTACATACCTACAGGTAAAACACTGATACATACACATAAAATAAAAAATATGAAAAAATTAGTGTGGTGAGATGGCACACTGGGTAAAGGTATTTGCTCTGATCAACAGCCTTGCGACCTTCCGGTTAAAGTTGGGGTTTATTTATGTCAGTAGAACAGTTAGCATTCTTTAGGGGACTTTAAATTTTTTTTAAGGTATTATGAGTGTTTTGCCTGCATGTATGTAAGTGCATCACATGTTTCTGATGCCCACAGAGGCCAGAAGAGGGCTTCAGATCCTCTGGAACTGGAATTACAGATGGTTGTTATCTTCCATGTTGCTCCTAGGAACAAAATCTGGGTCCTCTGCAAGAACAGCCAGTGCTTAACCACTGAGCCATCTCTCCAGCTCCATAACCTAGGAACATTTTGTGCATGGTTGTGTTTTACATCATTTGCTTGATGAAATTTTAGTGGTTATTATTGAGCCCTTTCAGTATGTCATGTTACTGATTTCAGGTCTCATTACTCTTGGAATTTTAGGGCTCCCCCCTTCTTTTTGAGGTCTTGAATGAATCCAGGGTCCCTGTACAAGCCAGATACATATTCTACAACTGAGCTATACCTAACCCTGGGAGTTGATTGTGTTTTTTTTGTTATTGTTTATTTTTTGTTTTGAGACAGTGTAGCCCTAGCTGGCCTGGAACTCGCTATGTAGACCAGGCTGACTTCAGTCTCACAAAGATCTGCCTGCCTCTGCCTCTGGAGTGCTGAGTTGAAGGTATGCACCACCATGCCCGGCTTATTTATAAATTATGTATGTATGTGTATTTGTCTGAGTATGGGTTAGGTTCCCATGAGTGCAGTACCTGAAAATGTGAGAAGAGAGTTTTGGATCCCTTGGAGCTGAAGTTACATGTTGTGAGCCACTCAGTGTGAGTGCTGGGAAGTGAGCTCCAGTCTTCTGTTGGGGCAGTGTGTACTCTTAACCCAATTGTGAGATCTTTATTTTTTTATTTTTATTTAAAAATTTTTTTGGTCTTTTTAAGGCAGGGTCTCCCTGTAGCCCCAGCTGACCTGGAACTCGCTATGTAGACCAGGCTGGCCTCAAACTCAGAGATCCACCTGCCTCTGCCTCCCAAGTGCTGGGATTAAAGGCGTGTGCCACCACACCCAGCTGAGATTTTTATTTTTAATGACTTTTTTTTTGGTCTTTTTTTTTTGAGACAGGGTCTCCTTGTAGACCAGCTGGCCTGGAACTCACTATGTAGACCAGCTGGCCTTGAACTCAGAGAGATCCACCTGCCTCTGCCTCCCAAGTGCTGAGATGATGAGAGGCATGCATGCACCACAACACCTAGCCTTGCGGGCATCTAACTCATTGTCTTACTGCTTCAGCATCCAAAGTCCTAAGCTTAAAGGTGTGAACCACTGTTCTATGATTGTCATTTCTTTTGATATTTTTCATTGTCCGTTCATTGTGGTTGGTCTCAGTTGTCAACTTGACCCACCTGAGAAGAGGGAACCTCAGTTGGGGAATTTCCTCCATCTGATTGGCCTATGAGGCATTTTCTTGATTGTTGGGTGGTTTGGGAGGACCCTAGTCTGCTGTGGGTTGTGCCTGGCAATTGGTCCAGGGTTGTGTAAGAAAGTTGGCTGAGCACAGGCCAGCAAGCCAGGAAGCCAAATTTCTTTGTGGTTCCTGCCTCTAGGTTCCTGCCCCAAGTTTCTGTTTGACATTTAAATGGACTGTCACTTGCAAGTGTAAGATGCAATAAACCATTTCTTTCCTTCCCAATTTGTTTTTGGTTATTGTTTTGTCACAGCAATAGAGACTAACTAGCACACCATTCTAATCTGCAGCCAGCTTGCCATGTAAATGGTGATGGTATAAATTGTATCTCACTTTCTCTGCAGTTCTTTTAATTTCTCTTTAGCTCATTTTTCTCTTTCTTTATGTGGTGTTACATGCTATCAGTCTTTTAAAATTTGTAATCCTGGGGTTGGAGAAATGGCTCAGCAGCTAAGAGCACTTTCTGCTCTTACAGAGGATCCAGGATTGGTTCCCAGCACCCACATGGCAGTTAACAACTATCCATAACTCCAGTTCCAGGAGATCCGACGTCCTCTTCTGACCTCCATCGGCATTGCACAACATGAGTGCACTTACATACATGCAGGCATTACACTCATACATATAAAAGAAAAAAATGTAATCCTACAGGTGGGAGTCCATTTTTAATTTTTTTAAAAATTTTATTTATGTGTATGCGTGTATTGCCTGCATGTAAGTAAGTGCACCCATGTTGTGCAGTGCCTGCGGAGGTCAGAAGAGGCTGTTGGATCCTCTGGAACTGGAGTTAGAGACAGTTGTTAGCTGCCATGTGGGTGCTGGGATTCGAACCTGGGTCTTCTGTAAGAACAACCAGTGTTCTTAACTGCTGAGCCATCTCTCCAGCCTCATGGGAGTCCATTTTTTAAATTTGTATTTTATATGTATGAATGTTTTGCGTGCATGTATTTAATTGCACCCGTGCCATGCAGTACACCAGAAGAGGGTGTCAGATCCCCTGGAACTGGAGTTACAGATGGTTGTTAGCTGCCATGTGCATGCTGGGAACGGAACCTCTGCAAGAGCAGCCTGTGCTCTTAACCACTGAACCATCTTTCCAGTCCCTTTTAAAACTTTTTAAATGATCTTAGTTTTTATAATCTTTAATTAGGTTTGTGTCTGTGTGTGTGTGGGTGCCCTTGGAGTTCAGAAGAGGGTATTGGATTCTTTGGAGTGGAGTTACAGATGAGCTTCTTGACAAGGATGCTAGAAACTGAAATTGGTCCTGTGCTGGATAGCTTTAGCTGTCAACTTGACACTCCTGGGTTGAGGGAGCTTCAGTTGGGGAATTGCTTCCATTGGACTGGCCTATGAGACATTTTCTTGATTGTTGAGTGATGTGTGAGAGCTCAGCCCACTGCGGGTAGTGCCACCCCTGGACAGGTTGTCCGGTATTGTATAAAAAAGCAGGCGGAGCATAGGTCAGGGGAGTAAGCCAGTAAGCAGCATACTTCCATGGTCTGTGCTCCAGGTTCCTGCCCTGAGTTCCTGTCATCTTGGCTTCCCTTGGTGATAGAATGTGCTATAAGCCAAATAAACCCTTTCCTCTCCGGTTGGTTTTGGTTAGCATTTTTATCACAGCAGTAGAAAGTAACTAGAATAGGCCTTCTGCAAGAGCAGTACATTCTTGTAACTACTGAGCCATCTTTTCAGCCCCTATATATTACAATTTTAAATACAGATTCCATATGAAAGAGAAAAAGAGGTATTTGCGAGTCTGGCTTATTTTGGTTATTGTAATAATTTTCAGTTCCATTTTCCTGCAATATTACGATTTAATTTTTTTTTGTGGCCGCATAAAATTCCAGTGAATAGCTGCGCGTGGTGGCACATGCCTTTAATTCCAGCACTCAGGAGGCAGAGAGGCAGGCTTCTCCTTTTGAAATCAAGGCCAGCCTAGCCTACATAGCAAGGTCCAGGCCAGCTGGGGCTACAAGGAGACTCTGTCTCAAAAAATCAAAGGAGTAAACATTCCATCAAATGTACTTTTTTCTTTTTCTTTAATTTTGCCCATCCGTCCATCCATCCATCCATCCTTCTGTCTTGCTTCAAACTCCAGGAATGCTGGGATTAAAACCTGTGACACCATGTCTGGCTACCTTTTGAAAAATCTGTTCATCTATTGATGGACATCTAGGGTTTTAATGAGGATACTTCATACAGAAAGAATTGTTTCCTTGTTGCATATATTCTCACACGGTGCCCTTTTGTAGGGATCCTGTGGTAAACACTGATCATTAGTATAATTTTGCTTGTTTTGTAATGTAATATAAATAGAATTAGGATCAGGGCTGAAGAGATAGTTTAGTGTTTAACTGTGCTTCCTGTTCTTGCAAAGGACATTTTCGATCCCAGCACCCACATTAGGTGTCTCACGACCACCTTGAACTCCAATTCCAGGGGATCCAGCCCCCTCTTCTGGCCTCCTTGGGTCCTGCCCTTGTGCACAAACCTATACACAGACACATAGACACATAGTTAAAATAAAAATAGACTGGAGGAATGACTCAGTGGTTTAGAGCACTGGATGCTCTTGCAGAGGACCCAGGTTCAGTTCCTAACACCCACATGGTGGCTAACAACCATCTGAAACTCCAGTTCCAGGAGATCTAGCACTTTTCTGGCCCCTGCAGATATTGCACATGGTGCACTTACATGCAGCAAAACACTCATACACATAAAAATGAATATCTTTTTAAAAAAAGTGTTTGTTTTTATGGATGGTTTAGAAATTTCCTGTTTTTTATAATTGAGCAGTTTGAGTGTGGTGCACTTTCACATGGTTTAATATGTATTTTCTAGTGGGAGAATCTCTTAAAACTTCTTGATCTAAAAAATTAGACATCCCACCAATGTTTGGATCTATTGAACTTGTTGCTGATGTGTATTTCTACCTTCTTTCTGTCTCTCCCTGGATTCAATCATCTCTCTAGGGCTCAGTTCATTTATCTTTGTGTTTTTCACGCTCAGATTGAATAAGGTTTATGGCTATGTCTTTGGCCTTTCATTTGTTTCTAATGTCTGGCAAGCTTTTTCATTTCTTTCCCTTCTGTTCTTTTTTTTTTTGGTCTTTTTGAGACGGGGTCTCCTTGTAGCC